TTCCTTCAAATTGTGACATGTTCCTGTAAATTGAATTATTGTCTGTTATCGCTGCCTTATTATGAAGGGTGCAATAGTCATGACTAATTCACTTGTCTTAACACTTTATGTAATTCCTCGGCATATGTGTGCAACATTATTATATGCTCACTATAAACTCTGGACCATTAAAGCGTGCTCTGTTTCTAGCGGTTCAGTGCTGTTAGGAGTTAGTCTTGACCTGCCTGCCTTGTACCATAGCGAACCTTCTTTAGTTTATTCCATCAAAGGCAAATTTTAGCCTGGATACGATGTGTGGTTGTGATTGGAGTGGAGTTCTTCTCTACGAAGCCTTTCATTTAGTTGAAATGAAAAAGAAACATTCTTTTCTTTCCTTTCAGAAATGCCTTATCAGCTTCGAACTATGAGTCAGATGACGTCGAAAGTCCTGTATGTCCTCACTTGAGCCTACCCTCTGATTAGACGGAACATATTCTTATGGCCAAGATATTGACAACTTGACTCTGCTTGCAAAAGAGTGAGTGTTGTTTCTTTTTTGTTAACTTCTGCGATTTTTCTCTGAGGAAAAAAATGTGGGCAACTTTCATGTGCACTAGTTTTTTGATGTTGCAAAATTTTTCATTTTTAATTTTCAGCATTGACAAACTGGTACATAAAAAATAGGTTTTCCTTACCCTTGGCACGAGCTAAGTATAATAATATTCAAATTGCATACCATGTACATTGGTAAAATTCAAGGCTTTATTTTCTTTGTTAGACACACCAATATTGAGAACTAAGAGGCAGTGATAGCAAGGAAGTATAGAGGACGTAGTATATGTAATGCAAATGGGAAGGAAGACAAGTTACGAAAAGATAACTTGCCATGGGCAGGCAACCAGCCTGCGGTTTTTGAATAATGGGTTGGATGCTTTAATAGCTAGCGAGCTACAGGGGCAGTAATGCTCTCTAGTCCACATTATGGGGTGTGTGTGTAGACTTATACCCAGTAGGGTTATTGCCACTAGTAGTTGATGACTGCGAATGTAGAAGCTTCTTGCACTGTGGCTCAGTTCTCCTCCGTACTGCATTATTGTAGCCACCTCTTACTTTCACAATGTTTATTAAATGGCACTGCACTGTTGCAGTACATGAAGTGATCACTAGGTGGCTGAAGCAATCTCAACTACACGTGCACATTGCATGTGGTTTAGATTGATAGGAGAGTGGACTGACACACGGATGGACGACTGAGCTGCGAGCCTGTGAAGCTTTGCACCATCAATCATCATTCACTTCGTGGATGTGCTACGGTTCTTTTAAATATGATAGTCTTTCTTAAGGACCTTTGACGCAAACATTTTGGCCTGTCTGCCTGCCTGCCTGTATGTCTGTACATTTGTCTGTTTATCCACTCTTAACGACATCGGGTACTTGAAACTGCCGACCCCGTCCGCAGCGCCCACCTATGTTGCTCAAGGTTGACCGTTCATGCTTGTGCAATTGTCCATTAAAAGCAATTATTGCGCATGTCTGGGGTCCCATAACAACACGTATACATTCTGCATGTGCGTCTCTTACTAGAAAAGGCATACATAAGTAATTTTAAAGACCGTAGCGCTTATCACGCTGCACTGACCATGCAACGCTTCCACGGAAAGGTGATTATTGCCAGCGCTTTGCTAAAACGAAATTGTGGATTGCATCTACCCGTTGCCTTGCGTTCTACACCTCATAACCTCTGAGTTGGGCGCACACACCTATCTCAAAGCCACGCGTTTTGTTTTCTAAGACAACTGCCAGATGGCGCTTTTATCTCACGTGTGACGTACTTTGATGCGCTCGTTCGCCTCCGCTGCACGCTCGAGGCATTCTAACGCAGTGCCTCCAGAATACCGTCCACGCGATTTTCTTACGCGGAACATAAAATAAATGTCTTGTTCACTCTCTTCACACGCAAGACTATTTTCTTTCGACGACATTTGCAGATTTAATGCAGATACGGGGCCAATTTTTTTCTTTCTGCCTGTTTGCATCAGGTAGCTTAAGATCTTACAGTAGACGACTGATTTGCCCGACCCTCAAAGGATTGCGAGGACATCCAAAAAATGTGGCAGTCCGGGAAAACGAATGCACAAAAAAGTGCACCTTTTAAATGCGAAGCATTTCTTAGCGAACTTCGGCGACTTTGAGCGTATCTGTCTGTCTGTCTGTCTGTCTGTCTGTCTGTCTGTCTGTCTGTCTGTGTCTGTCTGTCTGTGTCTGTCTGTCTGTATCTGTCTGCATCTGTCTGTCTGTCTGCATCTGTCTGTCTGTCTGCATCTGTCTGTCTGTCTGCATCTGTCTGTCTGCATCTCTCTACCTGTCTTGCACTGTCTCCCTGTCTGCATCTGTCTCCCTCGATCTATCTGTCTGCATCTGTCTCCCTGTCTGCATCTGCTCCCTGGTCCTGCATCTGTCTGCATCGTCCTATCTGTCCTGCATCTGTATCTGTCTGCCATCTGGTATCTGTCTGCATCTGTCTATCTGTCTATCTGTCTGCATCCTGTCTATCTGTCTCTCTGGTCTGCAATCTGTCTATCTGTCTCCTCTGTCGGCATCTGTCTATCTGTCTCTCTGTCCTGCATCTGTCGGCATCTGTCCTCCTCTGTCTGCTCTGTCTCTCGTTTTCTCTGCCTTGCCTGCCTGCCCGCCAGACTGCCCGACCAGACTGCCCCAGCCAGTTCCGTTCGCCGCGGTATGTATGGCATGAATTGCCTGGGAACACAAGTGACAGACCTTAACCAAGAAAATCATGACATGCGGTCATGTAACAACATGACTACATGACCACGCTCATGATGCGCTCATGGCCGTTTCGATAGGGTCACATATACCAATTTGGTATTGCATTTTCGTAAATGGATGACGAAGGTATGTCACTGATGCAAACATGATAATCATGAGATGCGTGTCATGTAACAACATGACTACATGCCACGCTCATGACGCGCTGGGAGCCGCTTCGCTAGAATCACTTAAACCAAATTTGGTATTACGGGACGGGAACAGATGACGAAGGTATGATACTGGTGCAAACATGATAAACATGAGATGCGTGTCATGTAACAACATGATTACGTGCTACGCTCATGATGCGCTCGCGGCCAGTTCGCTAGCTGCACAACTACCAAACTCGGTATTACGTGATGCGAACGGACGACATAGGTAAATGACTCATGTAAACAGGATAATCACGACATGCGTGTCATGTAGCAACATGACTGCATGCCACATTGATAATGCGCTCGCGGTCGTTTCGCTAGCTTCACATATGCCAAATTTGGTATCATGTGACCCCAATGGATGACGACGGTATGTGACTTGTGCAAAGATGATAATCATGAGATGCGTGTCATGTGAAAACACGAGTACATGCCACAGTCAAGGCGCCAATACATTTCGGCGTGACGCAGTGCGCGTTCTTGCCGGCGTTCAATTCGTCGCGTCACGACGGCATTGCACGCCAGGCGCCGGTCCTGCCATATACTCGCAGGCGCACGCGGCATTGCATTTATTTGACCCATGCGCGTTTCAGCGCATTCAGCATCCCCCCGTCACAAAAAAAGAAAGCGCATTGGCGCGAGATGGAGCATGTCGCATTTCGCGCCATTTGTCGTCAGGAAGCGCCGACGGACGCTGGTCGCGCCTAGCGTCAGACTATAGAGTGCTTGAGTTCTGCTAACATTGCGTCGCTGTGCTCAGCGTTCACGTGCATGAACGCTACATTGGAGTATGTCGGGCCCTTCATGATATGCTTGCGGCCGTTTTGCTAGCTCCACATATACCGAATTCGGCGTTACGTGACCTCAATGGATGACGAAATATAAGACTGGCTCAAACATAATTATCCTGACACGCGTGCCATGTAAGAACATGACAACATACCACGCTCATAGCGTGCTCGGGACCGTTTTGCTAGCTCCAACTATACTAAATTTGATATCGCGTGACGTGAATAGATGACGAAGGTCAATAACACATTCAAACATCACAATTATGACACGGAAGTCATGTACGGCATTATTTACCTCCTTCTTGTAACGTTGTGCTGATATTAAAGTGACATATCAACATTTCTCATTTGTTCTTCGCATATCATCGATTCCTTCTGTACGTGGTATCTGCCTATTTTTTCACAGGTATTTTTCGCTGACAGAGAAGGCAATGGTAGGGGTACAAGATTTTCATTGCAATCCAGCGAATGTGTTGTTTAGGTGGCTTTGAAAAATGCCATTTGTGTTAAAAAAAGATGTGTGAAAATAACTCGATGTGGCCCGCGTAATCTCATTGGTCAACACTTTGGCCCCCAAAACGTTTCTGATTATCTTTTGCAGGGCAATCTGCTGGCCCGCAATCATGTCTGCCTCGATTTCGGTTAACGTCATGCTGCCACTGTACAACGATGACAGCGTCATCAGTGCTAGCGTCCACTCCGAGCTCGTTGGCTGTGTAGGTGCTGCCTCTTCAAACTCGGTGTCAGAGTCGTCAGAATCCCCCGTTACTTGACAAATGATTTCGTCAGCCGTCAATCCCCCACTCAGTTCGAAGTCCTACTGAGTGTCGGCGAAGCCCTCAAAGGTTATGCCGGCTAGAATTGAAACGCCAGCAGCATGCAGATCATCGAAGGCAATGTCCCCAAACAGAAGTTCATCGCACACGCTGTCTTTTTTAGGTGAGACAGCTTTCTTAGCATCGAGCGTAGAATGTGAAGCCTGCATGGCGAAAACAGTTACGAAGAGTCTCTTACGTAACCGCCTTTTATGAGTCTGCAAGCATGTCATGCTCAGACCTGAGGTCAACAGCGTAGCTTTTCCCACTGTCGGAGCACAGCAACAAGCAGCTGAGCATGCGTGATTTATAAAAATGCTTCAAGTTGCAAATCATGCCTTGGTCCATCGGCTGCAGGATTGATGTGGTGCTTGGTGGCATAAATTCAATCTTTATAGCCTTTAGGTTGTTGATGTGACCACGCGCAGCGCAGTTGTGCGCAGAGGCAGTGTCGCATCCAATGAAGTGGCAACTGAGGAGTGACTATTTTTAGTTGAAAACTTTTTTATTCACAAAAAGCAGCACTTTTGGGTGTTACTGCTCGAACCTTCTGTCCATCTTGCGGGCATACGCTTGGAATAGCTGCTGGGTCACCCTGCCTTCTTGTTGGCTTCGTAGAGAACAGGCAGAGTTGCTGCCTTCTTGAAACATCTTTGATGCTCCAACTTCCCTATCGCAAGCCACGGAAGCTTGTCGCTGCCTGACATGTTCCTGCGAACGAAGACAGGGAGCCACTTCTTGCTCTTGTTTCCGCCGTAGCAGGCGTCACCAGCAAATGCAAGCATTTTCTTTGACATGAGCTTCTAAAACAGTCCTGTTGCGTTGCAGTTGAAAATAAAGTCTGATAAAAACTACTGGAGCAAGAACCGCAGCCTACCATTCCGATATTTGGAGACTACGGAATCGTTGACGGTACCGCTTTCCCTACAGATCTTGAATTTCAAGTCATTGTGACTCCCTCAATTGCAAAGCCATCCATCACTGAACTTGAAATCCTTCTCGTTCGTCTGGCGCCCAAAAACCTCCGCCGTTTGCTTCAGGATGTCACGTGACACCGGGATTTTCTTGCCGATTGTGATATTGAGCCACACAAGGAGCACTTCCTCGAGCTTCGGGTAAACACCCTGACCTGGATTCTTCTTTGCAGCCCTGGTTGACTTGGCACTCAGTTCCAAAATCTTTGCCTTGTTCTGCATAAAGTCCGAAACAGTTTGCTTAGAAATTCTGCACTCCTTACCCACCTCTGCCTGTGACTTGGCCGTTTTGAATTTGTTTGATGATGGCGGCTTTCTTTTTCATTGTAATCCTATGAGGTAGATTTGTGCGCTTTGAAGACGTGACCAAAGATGAAGGAGCAGTTGGTGCGGTCGCTTTTAACGGCGAATTCGCTTGAAAAAAGGCAGCACCAAACCGCTAAAAACTCAAGGCAAATGCGAACGCTCGGGAAACGTGAACGCTGAAGATACCACGCTGCAGCACACAATCTACCGTATAGCTGACAGAAAAACACGTGAACGAACACAGTGGTTTGACTGGGCTATGGCTGGCAACAGATTGGTATGCGCTAGGTTGCAGCAAAGTGCGGTTTCAAGAGTGCGGCAGCCACGGGGCTGTAGGCGCGGTGCTGCTGGCCGCACTTGGCCACACCTGCAATGCCGAGTAAAGTGTTAGGCTAATACAATGAAATTGGTGGCGTTTGGTGGCGATTTGTAGTCCGCGGCTAGCGGTGAAAAGTCTGGAAAATCGGATGGCAAAGGGTTTAAGTGTCCAGAATTTCGGACATTTCAATACATTGACTTTATGAGGAACATAATGGTGTCGGGAATGAGTCCAGGAAATCGGGCTTGGCCATGTCCGGAATTTTGGGCATCCAGGGAATCGGTCGTCGACTGTATTACGAGATGGCAGCTGACCAATATTTCCTCCCATACCACCTGAAGGTATCAAGTCTGCCAGAACGAGACCTTTGCTATGGATGAAAAAAAAAGTGGAAATTATAAGGGCTAGTGTTTGCTATGCAGAATATTTATCAGGACTAACAGACAATGCCAACCAAAGTATAGCTGCTGTTAGCAGTAATTGTAATGTAAATGTGAACAAAAAAAGTGGGTGAACAGATAACTTGCCGCTAGCAGGATCTGAAGCTGGGACCTTCGAATAACGTGTCCGATGGTCTATCTACTGAGCTACAGTGACGATACCCCCCCCCCCCCATTCACTATATGGGTATATGTGGTCATTCCCTGGTAGTGTCTACGTCTCTGTAGGCGTCGTTGCGGAGATTTGTACTTTGACTTTAGTATTGACTTGATTGATGACTGGACGCGGTGTCGCGCATTAGAGGTTAGAATTTGTGTCTAAATAATTTTTCATCACTTTTTCCTGATAATCATAAGTGAGGCACAAAGACAACAGGTCTCAACTTTAACCAAGGCTTACAGCTTCATACTGAATCATACTGAAGTATTGTTAGTTCTCGTAGATGGCAACCAAGCCATAGCCCTAGTTCCAGAGGAGTCCGCAGCGCAGCAACACAGTCAGCTGCTGCTCAACCAAAGCAACAATGGTCCTCGATCCAACTTCACACAAACCCTTCACTGTTAGATGGGGGCGCCACTAACCAACACCATACAGTAGCGAACTCTAGACTTGGCTTCAGTGAAAATCGTTGCAAGTGCTTTTTCTGTCATCGGCTAAGAAAACCTGGTAATGGTATGCCTTAGTGACAACGTCCCACTCTGCACTCGTGTAGCAATTGTAGCACGTATGCACCTGCCACTTCTGTCTAGCTCTTCTGAATGGTGTGAAATGCACTGTTTAACTGGTGAATAACTGCAACAGCTACCACCGTTTTCTTTTGTGAGCTTTCTTTTCCCTTGGATATGTGAGTGCAGCTCCAGGAATAGAAGTGCTGCGCCGATTGTCCCATGCTGCGCCAATCTGATGTGCTGCGCCAAGCGGCGCCTAAACGGAAATTTGCACATGCAACTTCAAATTTAGTTGAGAGCTCTATCATTCACTGAGTTCACGTGTGTGCTACACAAAGAGCGTAATCATGTCTATAAAAAATTCCGCATTCATATCAAGCATCGTATTTCGGATAATGCATGAGCCTTGCACCACGTGAAAGCAATTCATGATTCTTGTTAAGGTGGCGTTTGTGTGCGTACCTCACTATGCGACTCTATGTATGTTTTAACAGCGAAAGTGTTTTACAGGCTATAAAAAATATTCGCCGTACTAATGCCGAGACAACCACCGAGCGCGTGCTGTGCTTGGTGGTTGCTCGGCGACAGTGGGGTAGCTTTTTACCATATAAACTGAAAGAAAAATTAAAAATCAGTCTCACTGATGACTGCAACAGCAACAATTTGTAATGTTGTAATGGTGATGCCGCACACACTCCTTTCTTACCATTACGCGTCTAACGCTGCCTTGCGCAAACCGCGCCCGAATGACTTGGGACTTTCTAGATAATCAATAGAATTATCCGATGAGATTACACGCACGATGGGTACACTACAGCTTGTTCTGGAACTTACATGGAGGCTAGCAATAATGCTGGAATTTTCGATAACACATGTATAAATGCTGCCGCACTTTATTTGGTGGCAGATTATCGACGGCGACGCTCTATGTCGGTGATATCAGTCTGCAGCATGTATAGCTTGTAGAGTGACGTTTCACTCTACTGGCACAGGTTAGCCCAAATAAAAAGTTCACTCATGAAAACAGCGACTGCTGCCTTCGTCCACTTCACGACCCCATGGTTATACGAAGGCTGACAGCTAACTCTCTTTAATCTGACATCACGACCCTCACAACTATACAAAATGCTGGTGTATTAGAATAAGTACGTCCACTCCAGGGAGAAATGCTCTTATCACGCAATTCATTCCTGTTAAGACCGCACCACATAACACGGTGTACGAGTCAATGTGCGATGATGCTTGCTGACATTGCGTGCGCCAGCTATCGTAACCTCACTCTTCATTAGAATCAAAGCTCACGGCTGCTGCTTGAGCGACCCTTTTTTCCCCAGCTTCTTTTCATGCTCGTTCAAGATGGGTGCTGTGTCTCCTTCCTGCTTGAGTATTCGACGGCAGTTCCAATACGCGGTGGGATGCTAAAGCGTGTGCCTTCTGAGCGACAAAGATTGGCTGTCTCCATTAATCTCGGCTTGAGCAGCGCTCATCACTCCAGCTTGTGCAATTTAAAGTGCGGGTCAAACGTACAATGTGCGGGGAATGGTACCAGCTTGTAGTGCGAAGCGTGGTGGCGACGGCGAGAACCCATTGAGTGTCCATATAATTCCTATCGTAATAAAAAATGTTCATTTAATTGCCTAGCAATGGCGCGTCGAGTGCATCTAAATTTACCCGTGGTTCTCATGTCGGTAGTGGCATTTCAATGACCAGAAGATAAGTTTTTTACATTTAATTTTATAGAGCCCCATGGCTTTAGTATGAAGACGAGTTTTAATACATAGTAGCTCATGTCTAGTCTTGAGTTTCTGTTCCTGTTGTATGTGGTGTTTTAATCACATTTTGTACATTGCAACATTTTAACACTAATTTTTTCTTCCTTTGAGTTCTAGTAGCTGTCCGGAACGCTGTTCATGTTTTTTCTTTGAATTGCTGCACTTTCACCTTTGATGTAAGCTTTAATATATATGAATTTCGAGTAAGTCTGGTAGCTTGATCAGCGCCTAGTAAAACCCAATGAAATGTTATGTGTTAACCAGAAAGCATAAATTTGAATTAACAGTGTTGTGGTCCAAGGAATCTGCTCCAAAACTCACCTTTTGTTGCTCCAGAGCTGCTCCGAAACTCGCTTTTCACTGCTCCAAAGCTGCTCCAAAACCGCATAATTTCTGTTCCCAAAGCTGCTGCAAAAAACTGAAGCTCGGTTCTACTCCTTTTTTATTTTGTGCAGGATTTGTTGAAGAGGAGAAAGTGACAGCGGCTATTCTTCACCCCCTAGTGCCCATCAGGAATAAGGCACACGGTGTGCTTCCGCATAGAAGCGGGTATCAGTAGGCATCGCCTGCTAAGAAGGCCTTCAGCAAGAGAAGCGCAAAACTGAGCCATGCTCACTGGCAGACGCTCCTTCTGAGGACACTTTTGATCGCAGTCTCTGCATCTTCATGAGCACGGAAGTCATTGACTTGCAAATGAAGTTCCAAAAGCAAAGTCCTGCTAAATTCTTACACACGTGGGGGGATAGCACAGAATGCGTGTTGGACATACAGCTCTACCTTTTGGACAACAGTTGCTGGTGGGTAGAGAGCATTAGGTAGCATGAAAGTGCCTGTGCGGTAGTCAGTTGTTTTTTGGGTGCACTCGATCTTGAAGTGATGCTGGAGGAGGTGAATTTTTAAGTGTTCAGTATGGGCTGGCCTTCGTTCTGTTTATGTCTGTGCACGAGCAGTGTACGCAACTGGTTGGCGATCCTCTGATGGCCAGTTCTGAAGAAGTATGGCACACAGCGATAATGAACCTGCTCTTGAGTACACATTGAAGGCGAGAGTGCACCTGTTCACTTCAACATACTCTCAACTCCGAGCCACTGCAGTGTC